AAAATTACAATCTGCATTAAAGTACGCATGCGCCGTCAGTACCGCTACCGCTACTTTCTGAACTATAAATTGCAGAAAGTGATACCGCTACCGCTACCTTTACCTCTACCTTTACCGCTGCCTCTACCGTTACCTTTAAAACTATAAATCCAGCTTTAAGCTTATTGTCCCATACAAACTTTGAGGTTAGGTTTTTATAACATTTGATACAATTTTTCGATTACACAGTTCGGCTACCATTAAAAAGGTGTACCTCTCAAACTTCGATAAAATAAACCGTTTCCGAGATATTCGAGATTACAATAATTGTTATATCGCATTATTTAAAAGGATTAAAAGGTATGATAACAAATTTTATTTTTTAATTGAAAAAACTAAAAGTGGCATTGCATAAGCCACGAGACTTTTTGCCCTGACCGTCACATTAAAAGAATTTTAGTTTTTTCAATTAAAAAATTTGTTATCATACAGGGTGTTTCAATAAAAACTCCCAGGCAAATTATTTCGAAAACTAAAAGTGACATTTAAATTCTGTAAACGCCAGTTTTTAGCCTCTATGATTGGCTTCACAACTGTGTGAAAAATGTTTTTGAATAATACAAGATGTAGGTGGCGCCACTGTGCAAAAATTTTTTTCGATGGCAGCTACTTTTAAATTAATTTTTGATCAAATTATGTCCCATACAAATTTTTGATAAATTCGACATGAACGGAGATATTTGGGGTTAAGTTTTTTTTTAAAAATTTTAACGAGTATTTTAATTATAAATATTTTTAATATGCTTTAGCAGATGATCATATAATTCTGGTAATCATAATTATAGTGATAAAACGCTAGTGTAGCGCTAACTAGATTAAAATTATTACGTCCAGTGACGCCTCAGGGGGCCCCTTAACAAATAATATTGGCAAAAAATAATACGCTATATTTTTTGCTGTTTAAAAACAAAGGTAAAACATTAAAACATAATAAAATAAAATTAAAGGATGTTTTAAATTTTATGAAAGAGTGGTGAGAAATTAAAAAAAATTATTAAAGAAAATTAGAACAATACCAAAAACTAACTAATAAGGTCGAACGAGGTGTTCAAAATTATTGCCGTTTTTATACACACATATCAAATCGATATAATAATTCGGTTCTGCAAACTTTCAATAGTGTATTTTAATTAATAGCGGCTATAGTAACATATATTTTGTTGTACAGGTCAGCCATGTCTTCTATTCGTTCCTTGTAGACTTCTTTTTGTAAGCCGCCCCATAAGTAAAAGTCAGGGGACCTTGCTTGCCATCTAAGATCCCCATTTGTGCTGATCACTTTTCCTGAAAACGCCATTTAGATGATTCATAACGATATTGCTATTGTGTGCTGGGGCACCGTCTTGATGAAACCACATAGTATTTACGTCAATTCACAAATTTTGTAAAAGCAAAGTGAGATCGTTTTGCAGAAATTGTAAATAACGAAATAAAGTTAAATGTTCATGGTACAAATAGGCCCGAATATGTAACCATTTACAATACCGCACCAAAAATTTACCCCAAATCGTGTAAAATTTAGTCTGTCGTATCCAGTTACGATTTTCCTGGGACCAATAGCGACAATTATGTTTATTAATTACTCCATTATTGTGAAACCGGGATTCGTCACTCCACATAATTTGGTTTAATAAATTTGGATTTTCTTCCAAAAGAATATGAAAATGTGTCAAAAAGTTTAATCTGCGCTGGTTATCTCCTTATTGTAGATGATGCACTAGATGAACCTTGTATAGAAAAAACATATTTCCTTTTAGGAAGTTACTGAAATATTGGTTTCATCTTTTAATATTGAAATATTAGTTTCATCTTTTAATTTTTGTAATGACGATTGTGGGTTATGTTTTACTGATTGGAGGACTAAACCTACATTTTCGTCAGTCGTATCCCTCTTCCTTCTTGGAACCGTTTCCTTTTTAAAGCTACCATATGTAGCTAAGTTGGTACACAAAGCTACAAAAGATTTGCGATCTGGCGTTGGTCTCGATAGCAGCGCACAGCTTCTGAAGCATTTTGATGTCATTCTCCATAAACTAAAACCATGTGTGTTCAATTTGTCTTGACTTCTATGGTGAACCATTTTTATTTTGGAAATGTAGAAATTGAAAATTCTTACACTGACACTAAGTAAAGAAAAAATTACTTGATGTTTCTAAAATTCAATTGTTTTTATTTAATGATTATTGTTTTTCATAGAAATGCAGTGAAATGGTTTTATTTTTATTTCTCGAAAACGAAGCAAGATATGAAAACAATTCAACAGACAAAAAAGGATATTTTTAGTTGAATAATCCGAAAAATATATAAAAATTACCAAAAACTCAGTGGCGTATTATTTTTTGCCAATATTATTTGTTAAGGGGCCCCCTGAGGCGTCACTGGACGTAATAATTTTAATCTAGTTAGCGCTACACTAGTGTTTTATCACTATAATTATGATTACCAGAATTATATGATCATCTGCTAAAGCATATTAAAAATATTTATAATTAAAATACTCGTTAAAATTATTTAAAAAAAAACTTAACCCCAAATATCTCCGTTCATGTCGAATTTATCAAAAATTTGTATGGGACATAATTTGATCAAAAATTAATTTAAAAGTAGCTGCCATCGAAAAAATTCTTTGCACAGTGGCGCCACCTACATCTTGTATTATTCAAAAACATTTTTCACACAGTTGTGAAGCCAATCATAGAGGCTAAAAACTGGCGTTTACAGAATTTAAATGTCACTTTTAGTTTTCGAAATAATTGGCCTGGGAGTTTTTATTGAAACACCCTGTATACCTTTTAGTCCTTTAATACGATATAACAATTATTGTAATCTCGGATATCTCGGAAACGGTTTATTTTATCGAAGTTTGAGAGGTACACCTTTTTAATAGTAGCCGAACTGAGTAATCGAAAAATTGCATCAATTTGTATAAAAACCTAACCTCAAAAATTGTATGGGACAATAAGATTAAGCAACCCCTGTTTCTACGACACTGCGTTCACTCGAACAATTGTAATTATGTGTGAATATGTGTTTTGGTAATAAATGACTGTTCGCAAAATATCACCTTTCCAAGTCTACCATAGTGGAACTTATATTAAAAAAACTGATATGATAAGTAACACTTTATCACCCTGTATCTTTTAAACATACCTAATTAGGAAAAATATTTATTTAGATTTTCGTCTTATTTTCACTTGCTTAATCTGCTCCTAAATTTATGCCACTAAGTTTAGGTATACTTTTTCTCTCAATGTACGAATGTGGCGCAAAAATAAATATCCAAACACCGATGGCATAAAAAATCACGACATGATTTTTATGCTATCGGTGTTTGGGCATAAAAATTCACGACATGATTTTTTATGCCATCGGTGCACCGACATGTTTGGATATTTATTTTTGCGTCACATTCGTACATTGTGAGAAAATGTATGTTAACAATTGAATTAACAGTTTTTGCGGTTAAATACATTTCATATTTTATTGGATGTAAATTAACTTTTAATTTAAATCCAAAAAAATATTGAATATATTTAACCACAAACACTGTTGATTCAATATACATATACGTAGGTATACTTTTTCTCTCAATGTACAAATGTGGCGCAAAAATAAATATCCAAACACCGATGGCATAAAAAATCACGACATGATTTTTTATGCTATCGGTGTTTGAGCATAAAAAATCACGACATGATTTTTTATGCCATCGGTGCACCGACATGTTTGGATATTTATTTTTGCGCCACATTCGTACATTGAAAGAAAAAGTATGTTAACAATTGAATGAACAGTTTTTGCGGTTAAATACATTTAATATTTTCTTGGATGTAAATGAACTATTAATTTAAATCCAAAATAATATTGAATGTACATATTTAACCACAAAAACTGTTGATTCAATATACATATATGTAGGTATACTTTTTCTCTCAATGTATGAATGTGGCGCAAAAATAAATATCCAAACACCGATGGCATAAAAAATCACGACATGATTTATGCCATCGGTGTTTGGATATTCATTTTTGCGACACATTCGTACATTAAAAGAAAAAGTATGTTAACAATTGCAATTCATGAATCAACAGTTTAACATTCAATATTTTCTTGGATTTAAATTAATTATATATAGGTAGTTAATTTAAATCCAAGAAAATATTAAATGTATTTAACCGCGAAAACTGTTGATTCAACATAATTTTTCTCTTACTGTACGAACATGGCGCAAAAATGATTATCCAAACACCGTTGGCATAAAAAATCACGACATAATTTTTTGTGCCATCAGTCAATCGCAAACAGCGATGGCATAAAAAATCACGACATGATTTTCATTTCTCACGCAGTGATATCCGGATGATGTCCATATGAATAAAATTTGTGAAAATCACGACGTGACGTTCGTATGATTTTCATTTATTACGCGGTGAATTCCGTATGATATCAGTATGAATAAAATTTGTGAAAATCACGACGTGATGTTCGTATGAATATCACGAATGTTGTCCAGGTAGGTTTTAAATTCGAGTTCGCAGGGCTCATACGCATGCGGAAATTTTGCAAATATCACACCGTGAGTTCTACATGATATCACTGTAATGAAGCATGTGTATGCACTCAGGTTATCACAGCGTGATAAAAAAAATCACGTTGTGATATCATCATGACTTCACCAGGAAATCCCGATTGTTGTCCAGGTTGTATATAGATTAAGAAATACTGAATCAGTATAATATATTATGTGATAGCAAGGCCGTGCGCAGGATTTGCTCCTGAGGAGGGGGGGCTTTTTTAAAATTAATAAAAACCCAAAAACCGTTTTTATTTCATTTCTCAAACGCCCTGGAGTTCAGTCTGGAGCTACCACCTCCCCAATCCCCAAAGCTAAATTTGCTTATTGTTCCATTACAAGAGTTGTATCATTATTAGTATCATTGTAAACCCTGTTTAATTATTACGTTTTTTAATAATTTCATCAGTATATTTTTGATGAAACCATGGTACATTGTTCTCAGGGTATTCCAAACAAACTGATCTATTTAATTCCATTAGATGTTGCCTAACCCTTTGAGGGTATTTGTCCTAAAATAAAAATGTATAGTTTACAAAGTTTATTTCACACAATAAAAAAAAGACCCCCGAACATCTGAGAATAGATTTTTAGAGAAGCGAGAGAAAAGGCGAAGTTTTTATATTACGTGAAATATTGAATATGGAATTTTTAGGACATTATTAACTTAAAGAGCGAGTTTGACTGATGATTTTAAGAAAATAGGTTTTTAAAATTTAACGGGTAGTTTTTTAAAGCATATTTTAATATTGCAATACTTTTTAAATTTTTGTAGGTACAAAAATAAAAAGTTATGGTTTTTGGACAAAAACTATTATCAGTCCAATTATTTGGTTTGTTTCCATAAAAAACACTCTTAGAAGTAGATTATTTCAGGTTATGAAATACAGAGCTTTGCTTTTTTGTTTTCTAAATTTAAAACATTTTAATATTTAAATATTTGGAGACAGTGGGACTTGCAAACAAACCTAAATATAATAAATAAATACCTTATAATAACAATTTGCCAATTCAATATCTAATTTATCCATAAATTCAACATTAAAAATTTGTCTTATAAAGGAATTTGGCAATCTATTAAAGTAACATAATGCTAAAGCACTTTGCAAAAATGACAATCCACTTAGTCTTTCTTGGTCTCTAAAAAATAAGCATTAAAATTTTTTTTTGTAATTTATAAAAAATAATCACCTTAAAATAATATCTGAAGCTATAGGGAAAAAACTTTCAGCATTAATGGGGCAATAACCCAAGAAGAAACATAGAAACAAAACTTTATCAACATTAAATGCTAACATGCTTCTTCTATTATTAACAATATATGAAGTAACTTTATTTATAATTTCTGGTACTAAAACATTTGTTGTCATAAGACAATAAACCATGTTTTCAATTGTTTTTGAAGATAATGGTTCCGTATTCTTAATATAAGTAATTAAATCATTTATAAAATCATGATCAGTATCATTTCTTACAACACAAGCCTTAAACAAAACTGTCGCGTTTATTTTGCTTTTATAGGCAATAATATGTTCAGTGGCTCTATTTAAAATGCCTCTTAAGTCTTGTTTTAAAGAAGGGCGTATTTTTGAACTTAAAATATGTTGAGATATCTTTAAACAGTCTACTTCAGAAATTTGAGTGTAAATAGAACCCAAATGGTATATTAAGTTTTCAGTTATTTCTTTGTTTTTACCATAGCTTAGAAAAAAACAGAGACAATCAATTAAATTGGATGGTAAAATTGTAACATTACCATTTCTTAACTCTTCAATCAATTTTTTATTAAGGTAATTTTCTATTTCATAATGTCTAAAGTCTTCTAAATCCGTTTTAAAATTCAAATAATTTTGGCATATAATATAAATGTTAATTTTTTGTTTCTCTGCAGCTTCTAAGACTTTATCCCAATATTTATTGCATAAATTTTTATCTTTAATTTTCACATAACAAAGGAGTTTGCGCAAATTAAAAAGTTCAGGAAAGTAAAAACTATTATCAATATAATCAGCCATTACTTTGCGATATTCAACTTTATGAAGGGGCGATGAAAAATAAATTAGAGATGAAAATAATTTAACTTTCTTCTCCATATCTGTTGTTCCATATTCTTCCATTTGCCTTATGAATTTTGAGGCGTTTCTTTGAATAGCAGTTAGAATATCACCTGGTTCTTGGTTTTTGAAAAATACCTTAAAAATTTTGGTTTAAAACTAAAGCTAATTATTAATATAATTACTGACTCCATATAATAAAATTAATTCGTCCAAAGTAAATGCATCAATTTTTTTCTCCATTAACAAAATACATTTAGATATAAATTCTGAGTTATCCACCCTCCAATGAGGATAGTTTATTAATAAGATTATTTTAATCAAAACTTTCGTATGTTCAGATGTTAAAATACCATTTCCTAATAAACTTTTAATTTTCTTTTTATACCTCTCAAATTCATCTGTATTAACTATTAAATGAAGCTTATTTAAACAGTCTGTTAAATAGCCAACATCGTCAATGTTACTACAATCATCTAAAATATATACAGTTTTTTATTTTATAATACCTACCTAATGCATTAAATTAATAGAACACCTACCTATGGATTTAAATACATTTGGAATTATGTTTACAACTTGGTAAATAGGCTTAATTTCATCCTCCAAAAAAATTGTTTTAAAATAATTTGATGCCTCATGCAAATTAAAATCCTTTTCCAATTTAAACCTCATAAAATTATCAATTTTTTGCATTAAACAGTTATTTATATTAAAACCCAATTTATTTAAATATAAAAATGTATAACTTAAGTACAGAGTATCAAATTTATTTAATTTTATATCAATAAGATTTATAATTCTTCTGAATGCATTACTATTAAATACTGTCTCTGCAAAATTACTGGATGCATTGGGTTGCATATTTATTTTAAAATATATCTTTTGTAAATCATATAATACTAATATTGTCTGGGTTATATGTTCACAATTAAATTTTGTTTTATTATCAGTAAAAATCATAAAAACCTCTTCAATACTTGCTGCTTTACTGAGCATATGCAAAATATCATCTTCTGATTTATTAAACAATATAAGACTTGCTGTTTTTTCTTCTTCCAACACTTCGGTTTCTAACAATTCAAGATCTTCTATCTCCGACACATTTTTCGCATTTCTGAAGGTGTCCAAGTGCTTTTTTCTATATTGGTTTTCATAAATCGATGAAACATATTTAAATGAATGTTCGCAAGTAAATGCTTTTGAATTTTTTTTCAAAATTGTATCTCTAAAAATATGTGAAATATTACTATTTTTGTTGATAAAATTTCGAAACACTGGATAAAATCGCATTATTTATTATTTTTAAAATCAACTCATTTGAGGTTATTTTGCTTGATTTTCTTGGGTTAGCTTTGGTTAAGGTGGGTTTAAACAACGTAATACGTTGTTTAAACGTATACATTTAATATTCTATTATTTATGTTATAGCTAAGAACACAACTTAATAGAACATAAAAAACAGTAAATAACTAAATTTAATAATATTAAACTTGTTTTAGGTAAAATTTATTTTTTGGATAATGGAAATTTTATTCAATAACATTTGTCAAAGTACACGTAGACGTAAAAATTTAATTGCCCCTTTAAATATAAGGTTTAAAAGTGAATGAATTAAAAAAGCAAACATTAAGTTTATCATTATGTCTACCCTGCGACAAAGGCAGATAAGTATGTATATAAAATATAATAAATAAGCCACATAACCTGTATAACAAAAATGTTTCAAAATATATCATATTTTAGATGCCATAAAGCAGATGTTGAATTTAAATCAGCCTCAAACGAAGCAAAATACTTCAGAACCAGTTTGGAAGGTTTTGGTGTATGATAGTGTTGGCCAGGATATAATTTCACCTCTTATTTCCATAAAAGAACTTAGAGAACAAGGTGTTACGTTATTTGTGTAAGACTATTAAAATATAATTTAAATTTAAATAGTTTAAATATCGATATATTTTAGACAGTTACATTCCGACAGAGATCCCATTCCAGAGGTCCCAGCAATTTATTTTTGTGCTCCTTCTGATGAAAACTTGGGAAGAATAAACCAGGATTTTCAAAAAGGAGTTTATGATGTGTACCACCTTAATTTTATTTCGCCTATTTCTAGATCAAAACTAGAAGATCTTGCATCAGCAGCTATACAATCTAATTGTGTTGCTAATATTCACAAGGTAACAAAAATTTTTGGGCCATTACATACTAAAATTTAATCACCTAATCTTAAATTTGTTTATAATAAATATACACTTCGCGTCAAATGTAACGCACCACCAAAAATTTGCCACAATTTCAAAGTTGATTTTCTCGCGAACCGTCAAACCGAATTTGGTGATTTTTTTATTAAATTGTAGGCTTATTCTTTAGTAATAATGCGTTTATTGAAATATTTTTTCAAATTTACATTTTAAGTATATACCTACAGGGTGCACAAGTGATAATATGTTTTTTCCGGAAATTTGAAACGTCCTGTGGGTTGTACCAGCTTTTATAGCATATGGCTCATATAATTAAACTATAACCCCATATTTTCTTAACATTTTGTTTTTTGATTAACGTCGCTATCTCTTTTTAAATGAGATATATGTTTAAAGACTAAATAACTCCAGTTTAATGTAGTTAAAGAACTTATCATAGGTAGGTCATGGAAAATAAATAATGGTGTGAAAATATCAGAAACTTTATTAAAGTTGTCTGAATAAAGTTATTGTGATGGGGCTCCAAGTAAGAAATTTGAATCGTGATGAATGTGTAAGAATTATTACATTGGACGAGCAAGGATTAAGCTACTGTGCCATAGCTCGGAGATTGGGAGTTAATCATACCTTAATATCCCGTGTTATTAGACGTTATAACGATTATAATAGACGTGATGGGCAGGGAACGCATAGAATGACAACAGCCGTACATGATCGTTTCCTTTATTTGCATGCTTTGAGAAAACGATTTGTAACAGCAAGAAATCTACAGGTAAAACTTAATGCTACTCATAATTTTCAAACAAGTGTGTGAACCGTAAGAAGACGTCTTGCGGAACAGAATTTGACTTTTAGAATTCCAGGACCAAAGTTAAATGCAAATCATTGTAGAGCAAGACTGCAATTTGCCAGACAACATGTTCAACGTTCAAATGAGAGATTTTCACAATGAAACATTCGTGACATCTAGAGATGCGACTTGAAAAAAAACGGTTCGTTTTTTTTGTTTTTTTTAATTTTTTTTTTCAAATGGTTTTTTTTCATATTTTAGGTTTTTTTCAAGATTAGTCCCATTTGCCTAATTTTTTAGGTTTCATGGACTAAAATTAGCCACTAAATGACAATTAGTAAATGTAAATACAGTCTCGCGCTATGCACGCGCCACCACCACCGAATTGACCAATAAGGGCCGCGCTTGTTTTCATTTTGGTCCTAAAAAAAGTAACTACATATAATATTTTTGATTCAGCGCTTGATTTTTCAAAAAGCTTCCAAAAGCACTTTTTTCATGATTTTTCAAATTTATGTAGAGTATGGAATTTTTTTTTTCAAAAAAACAATACCAAATTCTTGTAGAACATTTATTCATTGGTGGTTATGTCAGAACATTCCGTGGACCAGAAAGCCAAAAAATAATCGATTTTTTTATTACGGTATTTGTTAGGATTGACTGTTACACATTTTTCATCTAAATAAATCAAAACTAGAAACTTCAAGCTTCAAATTGCTTTTTTACGGCTTCAATACGACCAGTTTTAACAAAGATACATCTATCGGAAGAATCGCAAAACAATTTTTTTATCCTTTAATTTTTTGTATTGGTGTAGAAGTTTTACATTGCTACTGGTTTCCAATGTGGAAACTACCAAATAATAAGAAATCAGATTTTTTAGTCTCGATCAAAATTTTCAATAATGAAATTTTAATATATTCTACATTTCACTTTATTATATTTTACTCAAAAACCGGTTTTTTTCTAGTTTTTTTTTCATGTTTTTTTTTCACATTTGAAAAAAAACCGTTTTTTTACATGGTGGTTTGGGGAGGAATTTCCACAGAACTCGTCATTGTTCGTGGAGTGAATGAATAGTGTACGATATATCGAGGACATTTTATCTGAGCATGTTCTCCCTTTCGCCCCGTACATCGATAATATTTTTTTACTGATGCAGGATAACGCAAGACCTCACACCGCTCATATAGTGCAAGAGTACTTACATGAGGTGGGTGTTGAAACTTTAGACTGGCCTGCAAATAGTCCGGATCTCAACCCCATTGAGCATTTTTGGGATAATATTGGTAGACGACTAAGAAATCATGATCCCTTGCCTGCCTCCCTTGATGACGTAGCAAATATGCTACGAGAAATATGGAATGACATTGATCAAGGCGAGATTAGACATCTGTTTTCGAGTATGAGCCGTCGATGTGAAGCAGTAATTAGAAGTAGAGGCGGAAATACGCGAAATTTATATTCTTTAATGTTGGTTTTATTGATTTTGTTCATATTTTATGGTTATTGTTAGAATCGTTATTTTTACATTTTTTTATTAAACTGGAGTTATTTAATATTTAACTGTATAATTCGTTTAAAAATAGAGATAACGCGGTGAATTAAAAAACAAAATGTTAAGAGAAGATGGGGCTATAGTTTGATTATAAGAGACATATATGCTGTTATAGCTGGTACAACCCACAGGGCGTTTCAAATTTACAGGAAAAAACTTATTATTACTCTTGCACCCCCAAAACGTAAATTTGAAACCATATTTTAATAAAGGCATCATAACCAAAGAAAAAACCTACAATTTAAAACAAAAACTACCAAATTCGGTTTGACGGTTCGCGAGAAAATCAGCAAATTTTTAGTGGTGCGTTAAATTTGACGCGAAGTGTATTTGGTAAGAAATTTTTACTTTTTTGTATGGTCTTTCTGAAATTTTTTTAAATAAAATTAGTTATACATCTTTGCCATATTAAAAAAAATACAAAAAAAACAAATTGCCTACATTAATAAAAACCTTAATGAAAAGCCAATTTTTAAAGAATCGTATTTTTAAAGCATTTAATTACATGTTTTAGGTCTTTGACCAATATGTAAATTTTATATCTCTGGAGGATGACATGTTCATTTTAAAACATCAAAGAAGTGATGATTTGTCATACTATGGTAATTTTATTAATATAGCAACAAAAATTATACTTACCACCACATAATTTTAGCTATCAATAAAGGAGATATAAAAGACACAGAAATGAACAGTATTATAAATACAATTGTGGATAGTCTATTTTCTGTGTTTGTAACAATGGGTACAGTACCAATTATAAGAAGTCCAAAAGGCAATGCAGCTGAAATGGTTGCCAGAGGATTAGACAAAAAATTAAGGGAGAATTTATTTGATGCCAGAAATAACCTGTTTCAAACTGATGCGCAAAATAGAAATTTTAATTTCCAAAGGCCCTTGTTAATTATTTTGGGTGAGTAACTTACATTACTAAGGTGATTCTTGAATATACCTGGTTTAGAAAAAACACATCATAATTTTGTCTTAAATTATAGTTTAGATTTAAATTCTCATACCGTGAAATTATTCAATTTACAATTTAAATAAGCTAAGATTTAAAGGTTGTTTTTCACAAATTAATTTTTTTTAGAAACAATTTTTTGTCATTAATAGTAGGTTGCGACAAGTTTTATAAAAGTCACAAAATTTAATTAGTCACAAGCAAAGCTTGTGAAGTAAGTGGTTAATAAACAAGTTTGTAGAGAAGTATATAAACAAATTGCATACAAGCTAAACTTTTTATACAAAGAACATTAAAATAAATTGTTCACTGCACTAAATTTTCTCAACAAAACAGATTGTATAATAATTGACAACTAACTTAAAGCTAACTTCAGCTTTTGACTAAAAAACCCAAAACCTGTTTCTGCTTAGTTTATACTGTGACTATATATTTTATCATATCCACTTTCTGCCAAAGTATTGGAATTGCTTAAGCAACATAAATTTCAAGAATTTTTTTGGAAACATTTTTTGTTTTAAAGCCTGTTTTAAACTATATAAACTGCGCACCACTCAATGTGTCGCGACCAAAAATTTCGTCCTTTTTCAAAATAACATAACTTTTTTGTTTCTTGAACGATTTTATTTTGGTCTGTAATGATTGCTAGCCCCATCCTCTGGCAATTTATGCTATACACTGTAAAAAATTATTACAGAACATTACGTTTGTTATTTTCTGTCCAACGTTAATCTCTGTCAAATATTTTTCATAAAATATGATGTAAAATTTACATTGTAAATCAATCGCGTAATATTATTGAATGTAAAAGTAATCACACAAGATTCTTTGTAAAATGTATCCATAAATTATTATGTATTATTAAATAGAAAGTTTTGTGATTTAATTAACGAATATTCTCTGTATATTTAAATTTTACATACTTTTCTCTGTATATTATTTTCCATATATAATACAGTATTTTTATTCCAGATTATTTTCTGTAAATAATTGTAAAACACGCATCATATATAACTAAATAAATTTAAATATAAATAATACCTATTCTATACAGAAAATAAAGGGGATTATTTTGGATAATTTATTAAAGAAACAAAGGTTTTTAAATTCACAAATAAACATTTATTTAAATATATATTTTATACAAAATAACATCCGAACAATAAAATACATAAAATAAACTTTCGATACGAAAAAAATATATAACCAGCCATTTTTAAAATGGTTTATTATAAATTAAAAAATGAATACCATGGGTAAGAAAAATATTCAATCGTGGCATTAATAAATTCATTACTTCTGGAGCACCCTACATAATATATTAACTTAGTAGTCTTATAAGACCATATATAGAAGAAAATACACAAAAAGAGTGTCCCAGAGGTAAGGGTCAGGATCACAGTCTGTGTCAGGATGAATACCATGGGTAAGACAATTTTACTTGAAAACGTTGATACTTCTGGGGCACACTACATAACTTAGGTACCGACATCCGGGATGAATTCGGGAAGTAAAAAAGAATTTGGACGCAGTTAATTCGACGCAAGTATATTCTTGTCGGTAACGCTTAGGGTTGCCAACCGTCCTTTATTTCAAAGGACAGTCCTTTATTTCTAAATACTGTCCTTTGTCCTTTTGAAAGGTGTCAAAGGACGGCAAATGTCCTTTAAAATCCGGAAATACAGATAAATCCACAATTATTTTAAAAAAGGCCCATACAAATACCATAAAATGTAGAATTGGCAACATTTGAAATATTTTGGTAAATCCCTGAGCTCCAATTTATCCAGCATACCTTGTATTTTTATTTTGTTCCTCGTTGTGTTGAGCTCTTGTGTGTAGTCGACTAGTCCCTGTGTGTAAGGTGTTTCTTTAACCTTATATATTTTACAACTTTTTAACAGGAAACGGTAAGTGGAAAATACAATATTAAAATTATATTATTAGATTTCAGTTTTTTGTCGCAATATATTTTTAAACTTTAATTGGAAAATTAAATTAAACAGATTCATAAAAAGTAGCATTTTCTATTTTAAACAATTAGTTGCCTAAATGCCAAATCATTATTTATTTGCAGGTTTTTGCTAAACATCATCAATCAAATCATCATGAATGGTGATAAAGTCGTCGATGCAAGTGATGATGTCCCAAAGTCACAGACATCTACGTCAAGCGGTGCCCCTTCTACACCACCTCGTCCGAAAAAAAAAATCGGAAAAGTTGTAAAGTAGACGTGGCACCCAAAAAAAAAATCCCAATTTGTCCTTTATTTCAATAACCGAAAGTTGGCAACCCTAGTAACGCTGTTTACATTTTTAAGTCAGTAGATGTCTACTGATTTAAAAATCTAAACGTCGTTACCGATAAGAATATACTTGCGTAGAATTAACTGTGTCCAAATTCTTTTTTACTTCCCGAGTTCACCCCGGATGTCGGTACTAACTTTACAGCCTCAAAAAATAAAATACATGAAAATAATGTAATATTTATACCAATTTGTTTAGAAGGTTTAGAACTTTTTTTTTATTGTCTTCTGGACTTGGATCCGCTATCAGGATGTATTTTAAAAATGTACCTCTGAATAAACTCCAATGTACAGCAACAGGTATCTGGGTACATTAGGTTACAAATATAAAAAAGGCAAATATAACTTTAAAAGCCTCTTTAAAGTTACGAAAGAGCTCATCGTTTAGCTTTTTCTGTTGTAAATATACGAAAAAATGAGAATTTGTTTCTGAAAATTAAAGAAATAAGCCTTTATTCATATTTTTATTATAAAATAAAAAACATACCTTCACTTATAACTTCAATAAATGGTGTTACTGGAAGTTCCAGAAGTTTTTTTCTCCTAAAAAGTGAAAAAAAATATTTTTTTATTTTTTAACATTTTTAAAAAATACCTGAAACATTTTAAAAATCACTCCGACATCTTCCTTAAAATGCTTTGCCAAAAGACAAAGCAGTCATGTTTTCGGAGTTCTTCATATCCATTTTCTTATTTAAAATATTCAGTATTTTATTACATTTCTCTTCAATGTTATCGAAGTAATTAAGATTTTTCTTGGTCAACTCATCGAAATGCCATCTGATTCCAGGAAATGATGTTAGTATTGGCCATTCTTCTTTAATATTGTTTATAGATGGTGGAGGTGAGCATTCAAAAACATCCTTTGTTGCGCGTAAGAAGTCACCATTAATTTTTCAAAGTCATCTAAATTGGGCATGGGTTCATTATCGTCAGTTACTTCTGCTGGCACATTTGGAGACCAATTTGAACAACCAGCTCGAGCACTTAAACATTTTTTCTTGGACGCAATTGGTGAGAGCCTTTGGTCATTGCAGTTTCTCTTATGCGGTCTGTTTAAGTAGTTGTTTCTCTCCTGCAATTTGTTGAAAAGCGAATGAGTACCATCTCCAATGATAACATTATCTTCATCTTGATCGCGGAGTACAGGATATCTTCTTATCATTTTTATGCACATCGCCTTAAATGTTCTCATTTTATCAACGACACCATGTGTTAGTTTGGTTTTTATTTTCCTTGAGCATTTACCATCCATTAACTGTTTGTGTTCCTCATTATTTGAAATATCCCACGGTATAGAGAAATTATTCCAGAAAAACTCGGCGTAGCAGTCAATCGTAAAATCAATGTTACTCTCGACATTGCTATCCGATATATCGGATATACCTAACGGTAGAATTAGAATTAGTAATTGTGGTAAATGTAGCGGTAGACCTTTCAGATGTTTCTTTATTTTGAGAAACCCATTCGGTATTGGGTTCAAGTAAGATGAGAGTTTGATCTTTGACATAATCAATAAACTCCTCCTCAATAGGTGTTCCATCCACTTCCAGAACTAACTTAGAGCCATTAATATCCATTTTTGTAGAAGCTGAAATGAAGAATCGAAGTTAAGTTAAATATACGCATTATGTAATTAAATTATAATTTACCTTGTAAAATAATACTGTTGTATTTATTTTCATCCTGATCATCTATGAGTACCATACATTTAGAATTCCTACTTCTAGACCAAATTTATACAATCGTACAAAAACTTTATTTAGATTACATAAGGACATTTTGCTAACTATATTTTGGTTTCAAGAAACAGTTTGAAAAGGTTTCAAACTGCTTCTTCAAACAAAGCTTATAACATGTTTAGATGCAAAACCAGATATGTGAAAAATTAGTTATTTTTGTCTTTTTTTATAGGATGTACAAAATGTGTAATATTAAATTTTTAAATCTAAACAGTACTAAATTTAATAACACTTTAAATATCTGGTTTTGTTTTTGTAAGTTTAATTTTTTAAAATCAATATTTTAATAACGGAGAAGATTTAAAATCAAAATAATCTATTAAATCTATTTGTTTGTGAAGTAATACCTCTGGACTTAAAAGACGATCAAATTGAAAACATGAAACTTTTCCGGAAATATAAACTTTTTTGTAAATACCTGAGTTATAATCCAATACAACGGGAAATGATTCACCTAAAAAGTAAAGTTTGTCTGATTTGCTTGAAAATAATATTACGTTGATTTGACATAAATAAAATGACCCATTATTTAAATCGTGCTCAGTGCAAACAAACATTCCACGACAGTATTTAATGTTATTGTATGTTATAGAATTAGACACAAATAGTGTATCATTCATGTCGCAAGTTTGAATTATTATATTGTTTTCCAAATTTTCAAAATTTTCTTTTAAACATATTTTAGCGTCATTTGCAAAAACTTTAGAACTAAAATTACCATTGTAAAATAAATAAGATTGAAGAAGTTCATGTTTTTGTGTAAGGGAAAAGAGTACATTTTTAAAATTGGGGGAATGACGTACAATATTTTTAAAATAACGATGTTTGCTTTCAAAACGCATTGTCCACAAAAGTCGCAAAGGTCCAAATTGTAAAGTTAAATGTGGATAATGCATCATGAAGTGATGCTTTGGTCTTAGGGGAACGTTTGGAAATAATAATTCACGCAACTCAATGTATTCAGAAATACGATTTCGCAAAATTGGTATTTGACCGACAGAAACTCTAAAAGATAACAATATTTGGCAAATCTCTTTTAGAATTAAAAACATATTCCAAATTTCTAGTTTGTCATCAACCAAACCAAATAAAGCAAATGATAAAGCCTGTATAAGACACATATTTTGGGATGCGGATCCTGTTAATTTGTCACTTTTTTTAACAAAGGAAATATTTGTTTTTCTTCAAAAGTAAATTGGATATTTTTTAAATTACAATTTAATAAATCATACAGGTACACATTTTTTTAGAAATAAGGTCATTTATAATAAGCATCAGATCATATTGAACCACGCCCTTGCAAATGTCGTGCCCTATACAAGGTGGCAATCCTGGATTACAAACGTGAAAATAAGTTAATTTATTTAATATGGAGTTACATTTAACTCCCCTAAAATGACCATTATCTGTCATCGAATCTGCGTCAATGTTATAAGATTGAACTGATCTTAGTTCTGCTCTTTTTCATAAATGTTTTACCTTTAAAATTACTAATATAACAATAGCGACAAAAATAGTTAACGCACAAAAATTGCATAATCGTGTTAGGGAAGGTCTAAACATTTTAGTTACATGGTAAGTGTACAACTAAATCACGTTTTTAACAATAAAATATTGGAATCGAAATTTTTACATTTTGTGAAAATAACTAAAAGAAAAGGTGTTAATATCGAGTAAAATTCGCTAAACGTAGAAGTGCAAAATAACTAACGAGCAACTAACTTAATAAATCAGAAGCGTTTTACGTTTAGTGGACTTTACTACTTAATTTGGGCTACTAGAATTAAGAGCTAACCTTGTTAATAAACAAACACTTGTAATAGTTATTAACGTGTCAAGCTTTGTAAATAAATCTTTACGGGCGAGCTGGAAGTTTGTGGGGTGAGCGATGCAGGAGCGAACCCCATAATCCAGTGAGCCTAGTAAAGATTAATTGCAAAGCGTGACACGTACAAACTTTTATTTTCACCTTTAGATAACGATTTTCAAATTTAAAATTTTAATTAATATGTCAAATGTGTCATTTCATTTCATAAATTTCTTTTATCTCCACGCGGTCTATAATTTAAACTTTATTGTTGTCAACATTCGATAAAGAAATACCTTGGCCTAGGCCGATAAAAATTTTTATGAGGCAAGTAATTAGTTCGATTTTTTCTCGCTAGGGGTATTGTTTTGAAAAATTAATCCTTTTCTAAGAAATTAACGTACTAAACTGGTTTAATTTATTTATAATAAGCACTAATTTGTTTGTTTTACTGTTAATGTTTATTATTTTTCATTAAATTATTGTAAAATTAAATATGAATAATAAAACAAAAAGTAAGGTTAGGACATTACAATTTGACGTTTCTGTGGATTTCACTGATGTGTTTTCTTTTTCTACGATTTAAATTATCTTTAAGTTTTAATTTGCTTTAAGTTTTCAGTGAAATTAAATGTTAAACACAGCGTAAACATTCCAAACTACCTATTTTTTTTAATAAAAATGCAAACAAATTGAAATTAGATACCTATTTATTAAACAATTAATTGAATTCAATGTAATAGCAAGAGGGTAAGTAAACCATTTTCTTACAAAAATCCATTTCTACTTAAATCATGTAGCTAGGTATTGTCAAACTATTGCTGCTTCTAAAAGGAATAATAATTATTGTACATTTAATGTAATCTTTAGCTAATAAATAAATGACATTCTAAAAAAGTGAGGTTAGACCGCTTTCATGTTGAATTAAATTGACCTATATAAAGTGCTTTGAAGATAAAATGTTGTATGCCATTCGGCCAAGAAGTGTCTTTTTGTGCTTCGCTCAATTGTAGGCCTCCGCTACGCGTCGGCCTTCAAACTTTGAGCTTAGCACAAAAAGCCTTACTTCTTAACCTAATGACATAAATAACTATTTTACACGCCTGTAAAACTTTACAGGTCTTTTATACAAGCCCGTAAAATATTACAGGTCTGTTCCCATAATGTATCGTTTATTTAGAAACAAAAACAACAAAATTAACCTATAAAATGTCATTTACCAAGAAGGTGGAAATAAAAATTATTTAAACAAAACTTTACAATAAGTTTCGTTTTAGCAGAAATGTAAAGGGTGTATTTTTAGAGGTGGAGAACTTTAAATTGGCAACACTGTTTTCTGTGACAGCCGATTTGACAGTTCTCGGTTGTTTTGAATTGTTCAAATTTATTTTGAAAAACACGGTTAAATTGGAGAAACATATCGGGCATTACGTGAGTTTTAGGGTGCTCACAATCGTCCTTCAGAGCGATTAATTCAAGACACTATGAATTTTGCAATTTATTTACTCTAAACGATAATAGGCATCCCGTAAGACGTCGTACACAAGCGATTGCCGGTGTGCAGCGTAGTGTTGATGATGATCCAAATGTTGTCAATTCGTCATCGTGCTCAATAATTAGACTTTTTAAACGATTTGACGCAATTAGATTATTTTCTTTGGGGACATGTTAAGTCGCATGTCTACGCCGATAAACTAGAAATAATTGAGCACTTGGAAGCCAACATTCGACGCGTTATTGCTTAAATAAAGCCTGATTTACTGCAAAGAGTGTGTTAAAATTGGACCTTTAGATTGCGCCCGTATGAGCCAGCCGCCGCGGCCACATGCCCGAAATAATATTCAAGCATTAATGCCAAAAATTTATCTTTTAAATAAAGACAATTTCATGAATATTAAAAATATTTTGTTTTGTTTTATTTTAATTTAAAGTTCTCCGCCTCTAAAAAAACACCCTTTATAAGAATCGATGCGTTCCATAACATTTTCAAAACATTTCTGCCTGTTTTCTTGCTTCCCTTTACTCGCTCCGTGTACCTGGACCATCGTTTCTTGTATCATCTGGACACCAGATTTTTAGTCAAAGTTCGAAAAACTTTCTTTACCTAAGTGTCCCTTTATAATTCAGAAATTCCAAATTTATTCAAAAGTAAATTTGTAAAACGTATTAAAGTTCTGAACCATTTCGAAAAAGTCACCGCCAACAGACTTAGATGGCTACATCTGGATCGCTACATCTTCTATTCATTTTTGGAATTTGAAGACTCAAAAGCTAGGTCGACCATAATAGCGATGATAACTGCCACAGGAATTAAAATAAACATAATATACTATTTTCTATAGTATCTGAAAAATTCACCGCTAACAGACTTATATCGCTACATCTTTTATTCATTTTTGAAGAATCGAAAGCTGGGTCGATCATGGTGCATGTGATAGTTGGGTCGTTGAGTCGTATTTTCAGTTTCGGTTTTGGTTTCTGCACTTGTTGTCTCGAGTATTTTGTCGTTGCTGTCCGGAATGTCCTCATCTGAAACTTCCCCGTCAGGAATATCCTGGTTCTCCTTGTTTTCTTCATAAGCGCTGGAACCTGTGTAAAGTTTTAGATGTAAGTATGACGTTCCGGTGATTCACTTTACCAGTTGTTTTTAATCTTAGCTTAACATCAACGAGACGCTTATCAATGACTCGAGTCAATGTACGGGACACTGTTTGGTAGAACAGAGGAATAAGCTAAGTGCCCCCTATAACAAAGAACTGTATAGATCTATACAGTTCTTTGTTATAGGGGGCACTTAGCTTATTCCTCTGTTCTACCAAACAGTGTCCCGTACATTGATCTTTGATGGTTTTGCTCTGCGTCGTGAATCGGCGTACGCCTTAATTTTGACCTACAAGACTTGAATCGGCGATTACATGTGTTGGGTCTTTAATAACGTAGATCCCCAAGAATGACTCGGCT